CCTGAGCCCTGACCGTGGGGTTGGAGGGGTTTAAACCCTGCCCAGAGGTGGCTGACACTGGGGGAGTGGGGGTGGGGGCGGGGCAGAGAGAAGAGAGAGAAAAAAAAGTAACAATAAAGCTGAACCCAGATCCCTGACCATGTGGCTGGAGGAGTTTAAATCCTGCCCCAAGGATGCAAGGCGGCAAGTGTGGCTGTGTTGAGATAAAGCCCCTGTGCTGGCTCCAAATAATCCCCATCCAGCCTCCACTGTGGTAAGCCAAAAGCCCCCACCTCCTCAAAACCTAGTGGATTTGTGCCTACTTATCTTTATGATGCCCCTCCTGCAACCTGGCAGTGTGGAATGTCCCTCTTAGTAACTGTCCTGCACTGATTTCTGCGGAGTCCCTCTGGTATGTTACTCAGTCGCCATCTTCCCAGAAGTTCTCTTTAAATTTTTTATGTTTTCTGCATTGTGGGTTTCTCCTGGCATTTGTTTTGACGTCTGCAATACTGCATTATAAAAGCCTTTGTTCTGATTAGTGAGTTTGATGGAGCTCCCTGATGGCTCCCTAGCCACCTCACCCTTACCCAGCCCAGCATGGAGAACGTGGAGGGTTAGTAGAGACCCTGAGTGATTTAAACATTTACATGCTGGGATGCTAACTGACAGGTTGAAAGTTTCAGTCCACCCAGAGGCGCTCTAAAAGAAAGCCCTGGTGACCTGCTCCCCACCCATCAGTTGTTGAAACCCGCAAAAGACAGTTCTAATCAGACACACCCGGGGTTAGCATGCACAGATTGGGGTCAACTCAATGACAACTGGTTTGTAGGGTTTTTTGGGTGGACGATGTTAGCAACAGAAAAGGGATTCTTAGAGAGAAAAGTAGGAAAAGGGGGTTTTCAAGCAGGCTATTTACAAAAGCAATTCTTCCTGGCTTGGGGAAATTGATAGAGTATTCTATATGCTCCAAGGATCCAGGTAAAGCCCTAGGAAGGAGTGAAGATGACCTCAAAGAGGAATAATAAGTGTCTCCCTGGAAACACATCGTGAGCAGCTGTGCTAGAGATTCCCAAGGCTGAGTAGCAAGGAAGCAGGAGAGAGGCACCAAGGTGGAAAGCTGAATGTGTCCACAGGAACCCAATGGGAAATGATCAAAGGAGGCTCCCTGTGACATGCCTCTCTGGACAAGACCCTTGAACTGCCGCCGAATGCAGAGAAAAGTGGCTGAGATCACTGCCCACCAGCCAGCAGGATGGGTGTGCACAGTGAAAATGTGATTAGACTTACAGGAGTGAAATTAAATAGCAAAGCTTGCACACCTGCGCTTTGGACCGATCTGAAAGACCTGCCAGATGCAGATGGAGAACCCAAGGTTGCAAGGTTAATTAAGCATCCTGAATTCACAGGAGCAGAATTTACATTTGAGGGAGAAATTCATCAATTTACACACGGCAATTTAAAGTGACATGCTCAGTTTCAGGAAGAATATTCATGAAAATCCTATTTTCTGTTTCAGATACCTCCCTGATGTTCCTGTGTGTATTCCCTGTGTCAGATGCTTGGGAGCCTTCGGTGATGGCTGATGGGAAGTGAGAGCATCTGTCCCCCCCCCTCCCGCGCCCCTCCCCACCCCCCACCCAACCCCAAAAGTTCTTTTGAGGGAGTTGGGGCTGAGAATGTATGCCGCAAACATCTCTCTATCAGATCAGGAGTGAACCCAAGATCTCTCATGTGAAATTTACTTTCTGATTATGATGAAGTTATTGGCTTTCTGTTGGCATAAATTACATGGATTCCATAATAGAAGCATCCTATTCTCTATGCTGCATGTTTTTTGGGTGGTTTTTTTTTTTTTTTAATAATAGCAGCTGGATTTCTTGGTGTAATTTTTCTTAAGATCAAATTTTCTTCTCCAATTTTATTCAGTGATATGAAACTTGTCAGAACAAATCTAGATATATCTCTGTGTTCTTGTATTATTCTGTTCCCAGATTCTATCAGGAAGAGAGACAGGGAGAAAAAAAAAACAATATATCATTTACAACGAAATAAATATCTGGTGCTACTCTGCTGCGTCTGTGTAAAACAGAGAATGCAGCCCAAGGGAGAGACATTTCCACTCTTTATTCCAAGTACCGCTGCTTTCTGGTAAACAATTGCAGGCTTTGGGCTGCAATTTATTTCCAGGATACCATCTCCTGTAAGAGATATCCTAGGTTAAATAAAGCTTTCAAGGGGTAAAGGAACCCTCTATTAAGTATTTACGAATTGAAAATACATCCCAGTTTTAAAAGTGCTCGAATGTGGAGTGAGAACAGCCATGGAGACTCCATCTCACAGTAACTCAGCCCTAAGGGGTCACCAGTGGAAGGGTCTTGGTGACTTTAGATGAGGCCAAAGGCCAGGTCCTGTATACAACCTGGGATTAAGATATAGAAAAGATGCGCGGTGTGTAGTTCCAGGTTTCCCAGGAGGGTGGGAAGGAGGGAAGATCTGTGGCCTTTGATTACTAAGAGTTCGGATCCCAACTCTGCTGTTTACTTCCTCTGTGGTGTGGAGTCTCCATCTTCCTGTTGATGGTTCAGGGATTTCTTCATTCATGCAAAAATATATTTGTTATGCACCTTCACACTTCCCAGGCACTGGTCTAGTCATTGGAAGCAAAACAGAGGGGGGTCCCTGCTCTCCGGGAGTTTGCATTCTACTGGGAGGGACATCGACACGTCAACAAACAGGCTAAGTGGAATCATGACAGATCGCGAGGGGTGCGTTGAAGGAAATGGATGCAGGGCAGCAGAGTCTGAGAGAGGAGGTCCCTTTAAGGAGGCAGTATGTGAGCTGGGACCGAAAACAGCTGGAGAAAAATCCTTCCAGAGAGAGGAAACAACAAGAACGAAGCCAGAGAGAGAGAGAGAGAGAGAGTGTGTGTGTGTGTGTGTGTGTGTGTGTAAGGGCTTGGCAGGAGAAATCAATCAGTGAAGCAGGGAGGACCAGGTCACTGGGTACCTGTGGACCACGGTAAAGAGTGTGCTTGTGTTCTCAGTGTCGTGGGACACCTTTTAGAGCCGAGGGCGATGCGATTCCAGTTTTGTCTAATTTCACTCCAGCTTTGGTTGTTTATGCATCAAGGTGTTAGGGTGGCGTGATAATATTAAGAGCTATTGAGGTAGCGTGATAATACTATCTCCTGCGGGGTCCTCCGGGGATTAGCGGAGGAAATGACAAAGGTCTGGCACAGGGCATGCATGGCCCTCAGTTGTACTCCTAAGTGGTCACAATTAGGTATTTTATGAAGCTGAATATCTCCTTCATTACACACAATACATTGCATTTAACCATAACATATGGGCCAGTCTCTCTCCAATATCCATCATTCTGTTCTTGGGGCCTAGTCCAGGGCCTGCCTCATAAGAGGTTCTCCCGCAGAACAGAGAAGCTAATCTGAGCTAGAGATGAAAGCATATTACGATGAATTCTCGGGATCATCACTTCCTGAAGAAAAGGCAAAGGAACAGAATGGGGCAAAAAAGGTGGGCTCTGATCCTGTCCAACCCAGGGCTCAGCCAACCCAAGGAGCTCTAGAGTTGGCATCGTCCTGTAAGATTAGCCTTACTTTGGGCAATAGTGCTGAAACTTCATAGCAAGTCATTGGCTGCAACCTGCTCTTAGATGCATTGATTCTTCCAGCAAAAGGCGACCCATGCAAAAGAATGAAGGTGGAGGGCCATCAGCCTGCAGGGCGCCAGCAGTAGCAAGCCAGTGTCCACTACAGCACATTTCTCCTCCAAACTTCTGGGTTGTAATCATCGTTCCCTTGGTTTCCCCACCCAGGAATAGACACCACTTCCTGCTGTGGTCTACTGGTGTCTTAATCTGAGTCTACGCTGCGCTTTTCCCATTAGTAGAAGCAACTCCTTAGACCTAGCCCTCTAGTCTTCCTGAATAGATGCCAGCTGGTAAGCTTCTCAACCCAGGTAACTCTAAAATGGTTCATGAGAGCAGGCTAGGGTTGCCAGGCCCACAATGTTAACGGATTCTGTGACCTGTGGGTCATACATAATCTAAAGAAGTCAACTTGGGAAATACCAGCATTACATCCAGCCTTCAGCTCACATGCGTTTCTGAACGTTTCAGTCATCTGAAAACACCAGCATCTTGTATAGAAATCCGAAAAACTCACTGCCGCCGAGTCAATCCTGACTCATAGTGACCCTACAGGGCAGGGTAGAACTGCCCCTGTGCGTTTCCAAGACTTTAACTGTTCACGGGAGTAGGAAAGCCTGATCCTTCTCCCAAGGAGCTGCTGGTGGTTGCAAACTACCAACCTTGAGGGTCACAGCCCAACACATAGCCAGGGCTCCTTATGGAAATCAAGGATGCAATCATTGGCAGGTGGGCTCAGCTTGATCTCTCGGAGGCCCTGGGCACCTCTGTGAAATCCAGTCAATGCATTTCTGACATATCATGGCTGCCTCACGACCTGACAGTGTTTTAACCCAGTGTCCGCCTGAGTAGCTAACGCCACCTAGAAGTGACCTGAGCTCAGGGATCACGGGGCTGAAAAGTGGGTCCTGAAGGGTCAAGACCAATTCCATGGCTTCCAGTTTCCTTCTGTCAGACAGCACCAAATCTGATTTTCGGTGGGTTGAATGCTACAGACCAGGAGCCCCTGGTTTCTTTGTTACCCAGCTCGGTACATCCTAAATGGGAAGACCTTATCAGTCAATCAGACGTCCTCGCGACAGTGATAACGTAGTCATGTTGATCTGGGGAAGCGTGTCTGAACTCTCATCGCCACCATGGTAAGAAGTAATCAGAATGCAGACCCACTTCAGTCACTCAGCGCACATTTTATTAGCACAGAAAGAATTCACTGTGTTAATCTCACAAGGGGAGTTTGGAGCCCAGTGAGCACCACTCACACAGTGCGTCATGAACATGATCACAAGGAAGAAGCGAAACATCATGATCACTAAAATTCCCCACGGAGAACCATGCCTCCCGCCCACCCACCCCCACAAAAAGTATTAAAGGCTTCTACATATATATACAGATCTAGAAATATGTTACAACAGCTCTCAACAGGAAGACTCTGTTGGTTGGTTTGTTTTTTAAATGCCCTATTAAAAACACTGAGCATCTCTCTTAGTGACCAAGCTCGGATGAGCCCCTTTCCTGATGTCTCTCTCCACCTTCTACCCGTCTCAATGAACAGACGTCCGGGGTGGAGATGCCACCGCCGCCTCCTCGGCAGACCTCTTGTGCTGGCTCCGCAAAGGACCCTCAGTGCTATGGGACGCCTCCTTCTGGGTGTGTGCTGGGCTGGGCTTTCCAGCAGCTTCAATCCAGGGGTGCTGCAGAACCTGATGGGCCGTGTAGCGCCTGTGGGGGTCTACCACCAGCAAGTGGCTCACCAGATCTTTGGCAGCTGTTGGGGGGAGAGAAGGAGAGAGAGATGAGATGGGCGCAGGTGGCTCAGCATTGCTCTTCCCCAGACGTGACAGCGGAGCACAAACAGAAGGCTCATCTGCGTTCCAGCGCAGGACCAGCCAATCGGATCGTCTGCAGTGGTGGAAACCTTTCCTGTCTGTGCTGGTCCCGTGTGGGTGCTGGGCACTTGAAAAGGGCAACAGAAAACAGAACTTGTTCCCCTTACTTTTAAATAGAACACACTGGTTGCCAGTGAGTCAGCGCTGGCGCCCGGCGATCCAGTGTGTGCCAAGGCAGAGCTGTGCTCCATGGGTTTGTCCGTAGCTGTGGGTGCTCAGAAGCGGATCACCAGGCCTTTCTCCTGCCTGACATGCTCCTAGGTGGGTTTGAACTACCAACCTGTTGGCTAGTAGTTGGGTGTGTAACCCTTTGCCCCACCCGGGGACTCCTTCCTTCTCATTAGTCTACATTTAGATATCAAGTGTCATGCGTGTGTCTGACGGATCGTGCCATTCTGGGAATGTTTGTTTATTTCCCTATAGAGTCATGGGGCCGGGCCAGTCCTTAACATCTGTGGCATGCAGGGCAAAAGAACAAATAGACTCACATGCCCTCAGTCTGCCGATTTTACAGCTTTCAATCACACTAACAAGTTGTTAAATTAAATATATTCAATCTTTCTAAGCTGGTAGATAGGCCTTCCTATTAACACAATTGCAAAGTATGTGGAAAGACATCAAGTAGCACAAATTCAAAATCAATCTGACTTTCCAGCCAATTTGACTGGTTCTGGAGAGGTGTGCTGACCACTGTGGGCCAGGTGGTCAATAGGGGAGCACGGGGTGGGGGGGAGACGTCTCCTTGGCTCACTGGTTCTCACAGGCTGAGAAATGCACAAGTACCCACTTTTGCTTTACCTTTATTGAAGGACCCTGTGAGTCAGCATATATATATATATATATAACCACGCCTATTCTACTTTTAAAGCTAAAGATTTTTTTTAAAGCAGTTATCCTTAAGTTGACTCCTAATCGTGGCGCCGCCCACGTGTGTCAGGTGATTACTGTTGCACAGGATTGTCAAGGCTGTGCCCTTTCAAAGACAATTCTCACCCCCATGGAGCCCACGCTGACTCATCGAGATCCCCCAGGGATTTTTGTTTCTGGGAGTAGAAAGCCCAGGCTTTCTCTCACGGAGCTGCTGGTGGTTTTGAACTGCCGACCATGAGACTCACAGCCCAGCGAGTAAGTACCATGCCACCAGGCCTTTCTTCTGAGGCACCTCTAGGTGAGTTCACACCACCAACCCATTAGTAACCAGGTGTATAACCCTTTGAGCCACTCCGGGACTCCAGAGATTCAAACCACCCCCACTCCCATTAACTTGTTCTCAGTGTTCTAAGGGCAGTGCGGAGTGCAGACAAGTCCGTAGAAAGAAAGGGAAGATTCCATGTGGAAAAAGGAGCAAGACCATACACATGTCCACTCCACTAAGAAGGCATCGAAGCCTTTAGCTGCAGCCTCCTGTGCTCTGAGCATGCCCTGCTTGGCCCAGATCACTCCTGTGTAAAATAAGCGTTTTCTATCACAAGCTCATCTCTAGTGGAGACGACTTCGAAACGCAGGGTATATGTTTCTGATTTATTTTTCACGTCTAAAGCTCTGAAACCACATTAAAGAGGTGCTTAGACTTTTCACTCAATCTCAAAGCAAGTCACATTCTCATGGTGCTGCATAAACAAACATGAGGCTCTTGAGGAACTAAAGGATGAGGGACAATATGCAAGACGGGCCAGCTACCTGCCAGGCACCACGGCGGGCACACTGTGCACCTTACTTCACTGTCTGACCTGGAAACCTCAGATTTGCGATCAGAACCAAGGAGAGGCTCTGCCCCACATCCCCTCTCCTCCTACTCATGAGAGCCAGGTCTCACCTTCAGAGATATTGTCCCAGTAAGGGGGCAGGAACTCAAAGTGTCCCCGCTGGATGATGCTGAAGAGCTCATCTTGGTCCCGCTCGGGGCTGCGGAAGGGGGGGAAGCCACACAGCAGGATGTAGAGGATCACGCCCGCAGCCCACATGTCCACCTCCAGCCCGTAACCTGCACAAAGAGACCGAGACCAAACGTTGAGAGCAGGCGGGGGTAACACCTGATGAAGTTCACCAGGGAGTCTTCATTCTGGGTCCCAAATATGACAACATCAGCTCTCCGTAAGCAGGAGCCACTTCGAAGCCCATGGGCGGACTTCCTGCCCAAGCACACCTCCTTCGGGCATGGTGCCAACCTCAGCGATACTCAACGTTTAGTCCACAGACCACGGTCGCTTTGTGGTGTGCTTATTACTGGTCCATGTTAAAATAAGCATCGCAATCGCAAGGACGTCGTTAAAGGAGGCTCTTGGAACAATGTGCTATGGCTGTGACCTCCAGAGGCATGCTCAACGAACACGGTGTAGATGCGTGCAGGTGAGAGCAGACGGCTGAGGTGAGTCACACGTGCTGTGAGCTGCGTCGTGATCATGCGCAGTAAGAGCACACACTAGTCAGTGCTCACCCGAAAATGGTAAAGTTGGCAGTTCTGGTCTTCACCAGCAGTCTCTACTTCCTATCCATGAAGTGCTGTCTCTATCATTTAAAAAATAGCATGTCTGGCTTTGTAAAATAATTATAATGACTGGTGTTTACCAGCTGTCATCCCCTCTCCCTCTCTCCCACACACATACACACACGTTTATGCTTTCTTTAGCAAAATTGGGATCAGATTACACATCCTTGTATCGTCTACCTTATTCACTTAGTATTCTATCATGGCATTTCCTGGACAAAATTAAATTTCAGAAACATCATTTCTAATGACTGTTATTATTCCTTTTCAATCATGAATCCCCTGTGTTGGAATTTAAGCTTTTTTTTTTTTTTTTTTTTTTTTTTTTGCAACTGCAAGCCATTCTGGGACGAGCATTAAACATTCTGCACATCTCTGAATGCAAATGCACCAAGTCACATACTGCAAAGGTTTTGAGTACAGCCTCCACCAGAATGCCTCCACCAGAATGCCAACCAAGTTGTCAACAGCAGCAAGTGACTTTCCAAACATTTTTTTTAACCTTTGGGAAGGAAAAAACACTTGGCAGTTTTAGTTTGGAAGTTAGATGTTAAAAAACCTAGAGTAAGTTTGTCAAGACACAAAATCTGCAGGAAACGATTAAAAGGCCATGTTGCTGGTGAACAACCTATGGCCAATCTTGGTGTCCTTTCCTCTGGCCAGTCTTGGTGTCCTTTCTTGGGGGGCAGTGGGGGGGATCCTGGTGTCTGATTATACATCATATAAGTGACCATGCCCGAAAGAATCTGCCTAGCCTCCCCATCTTCTTCAAGTTCACCCCTTGGCCCTTGGCTTCCAGGCCCGCCTGTCCTCTGCTGACCCCTCCTCCTGCCTTCTCTTATCCCCTAATTCCTGGTCTCCCTCAAGTGTCCTGCTGCCGTCACCAAGGAACCCATCGTCTCACCACCACAGCTGCCACCTCTAGGTTGAAGAATCTCAAAACTGTACACTCCATCCGGGTCTGTCACCTCGCTGCCACCTGGACGACTCCCAGTGGCCCGGCTGCTGTCTCTACAACATCAGTGTGTTCACAGTGAACTCACCTCATCTTCGGAGCCAAAGGACTACTGCTGCTTAGTAGTCGGTCACAGCTGAGGTTTCCCTAAGAGTTCATACTGACTATTTGCTGTCTTCTTCTCTTCACCACTTCACCAAGGCTGCCAGTATCGTGTCTGTAGTTCTTCCATATTCTCCCCACCCCATCACCACATCCATTCCAGTAGCTATCATGAGGGTCAGGCCCAGTCTACACTCCAGTCTTCCCATTTGTGGGGGGGTCTAACCTCAACTTACTCAACTGTACTTCCCTTTATTCTCTTGAGGTTAGTCTTCTCAATGTCTCTACCTGCCATCCTGCCATCCTGCCATCCCCTTCCCAGATGCTTCTACTCCCAGCAAAGTATCTCTCCCCACACCTGACATCACCCCGACAGGCCATTCAGAACTTCCCCATCTTACCTTAAAAGCTCAGCTCACTGCCATCGTGTCAATGCAGTCTCCTATCAAGCCTCTGGGTTTCCAAGACTGTAACTGTTTACAGGAGTAGAAAGTCCAGTCTTTTTCCCATGGAGCTGCTCATGGTTTTGTACTGCCAACCATGTGGATCACAGCCCCTATACCACCAGGACCCCATAGGTTCGGTTCCTGATTGCTCCTGGGGTATCACAGTAGCCAAACAGTCATTCATTTATTTAGAGCTTTATAAAAGTAATAGTGATTACTTTTTATGTATGTATCTACAGAATGTGTCACGAAAAGAATTCACTGGGATCCTCACCCAACACACAAATAAATAATAACGTTTAATCATTTTTAAATGCAAGGCTGGTAGAAGAATTGTTAACGACCTCCTTTGCTCGAGTTCTCCGTCCAGTTCTCCATATCGTGCATTTCACCATCTTGCCAACACACAGAGACACAAGCACGTATTCACACCCCCAATACCTCTACTCTAAGACGCCCAGCCCTGATGAAGAAAAATTTAGTTCTCCACTTTGGGCCAAGTTCAGTATTTTCACTCCAAGACCAAGCCTTCGTCCAACTCAGATTAATTACTGCCTTGTATTGAAAAGTATATGAAATATTAAACATACAGCATCTAATAGGAAGTGAGCTAGAGTCCCACGAGCAAAGTGCAGCATTTACCTTTCTCAGAAAGAATTTCGGGAGCGACGTACGTCGGAGTCCCACACACAGTAAATATCGGTCTCACCACGAGCTTTGCAAGGCCAAAATCAGCTAGCTTCAAGGTGGTAGATTTGTCTTCATTTCGCTGAACCTGTAAGGAAACAAAATCCCCAAACCGACAAAAGTGTGATGAGCACATAGAAGCGAAATGAATGAGACCACCAATGCGTCAGTTCGGGATAAGCGAGCGATGGTCCGACCCAGACCCAAGCGTACAGCCCTGCCCAAAGCTGACAAACCCGACTCAGTTTCAACTAACGAACAAATGAGCTCGGTTTACTGTGGCATCCGGTGTGGCCGTCACTGGTCATAAATGCCTATATGAGTTGAAGTGAATTAAAATTCGATTAAAATCTCCAGCACTGGCTGCGTGATAGGAATCCAAGAGCTGGGTAGCAGGGTAGCAGGAGCTGCCATATCGCACAACTCCGAACACTGCCTCCATGACGAAAGTTCTACTGGCCACACTGAGGTCAAGCAAAGTTTAAGGATCTTTAGAGCACTGACTAACTTCCCTGAACCCGAAAATACCTGAGTCATGAAATCTTTAGGAGGTGGGGGAGGGGGTGAAGAACTGAAAAACAACATTGAAAATGAAAAGACCAGTGAGCAAGGGAGGGATATTAAATACCAAGCCCTAATTTGGGAGAATGGTGCCCTTGACACAGCGGTTAATCACTTAGCTGCTAACGAGGGCAGTGAGTGAGGCTCCCAGAGTCAAGGAGCCCTGGTGGCGCACAGGTTAAGCACCCAGCTGCCAATGGAAGGGTGGGCCATTCGAGACC